CAGGGAAGTGAAGGCCTTCCAGGCCACTGGAGGCTTGCTCATGTGATCCTGTGGCAGTGGTGGCATTGAGCATGGGACCCATGTCATCTCAATTAAAAAAGGGTCCAAAGGAGATGTGAGAAATAGGTGGAGGGCCAGCACTAGATTGAGAACTATTTGAGACTGATTGCTGCTGGGTGAGGGAGAGTATGACTTACATGTGACCACTGGATGGGCTGACTAGACTCCAGTGGATGCATTTATACTGAAGGACTTTTGGGTGCAAACACCTGAATGAATAGGACTCAGCATGTATGGCAGAGCACATAGGGTTTGGTGGGAGGATGAGGGGAGGGAGGGATAGGGGAGGGGTCTGGATTTGAGTGGGAAATGTATGAAATTTTAAAAGCTCAATAAAAAAGTAAAATTCAAAAATTTTTTTTTCTCCTTAATGAAGGCAAATGAGATGCTTCAGGGGGATAAAGGCACTTACCATCAAACCCATCACCTGAGTGTGATACTTGAAACCTATGGTGATAAAAGAGAAAGGTCTCCTAAAAGTTGTCCTCTGACCTCACATGTGCTATGGCACCCGAGCACCCACACTTACATATGCATAATAATGTTTTAAAAATAAAATTATATATAATACATTTTCTTTAAAAATTAAAATGGTAGTTTTATTAATAGATTATAGAGTATATGTAGTTGACCTGTAGCCAGCCCTGGAGTAGGATACCTCTAAGGCCATTGCATCTTCTCCTGAGACCCTGCCTATGATGGAGGAAATATTTGTCTAAGAAATGTGAGTTTGAATTTATCATCCATGGAGGTATATTTTATTCTGAACAATTCTTCTCCAGACTCTCCCATTCATTACAGAAAATTTAGTGTCCTCCACCCTCAGTCATTAAATGCCAAAACGAGTCCCCAAATGTTACAAAAATTCAAAGAATATAAACCAGCACCTCCCTAGCCATTTCTCTCCTTGAGAAGTAGAGCCACTCCTGGTTGAGAATCATTTTGCTGTCAGTTTTCACTCTGGCCTTGGGAATTTGCTTCTGAAACATGTCACTGTATGGTGACCAGAAGCCACAAAAGCTGGGCACAAACCCCTTCACCAGGGACAGTGAAAGAGTATATAGTTCTTAAAAGAGGGCATTGCTCATGGTCTTCTCAGAGAAACTGAGCTCCTTGTTTGCAGTTACCGGGAAAGCTGAAATTCAAGCAAGTTTTGTGAGGTCACTCATTAAAGACTAGGCCACACAGACTGTACAAACAAGATCCCTTCAGAACCCAGCATGTCAGCTCAGGTTAGCGCTGTGCTTCATAATGATGTTGCTCACAACTGTTTGTCACTTACCGATTGATTGCAGTGTGCAAGCATTTTGTAAATCTGATTTATCCTCTCCACAGCTATGGAAGCAAATATCTATATTAATTTACACAGATTAGAAAACTGAAGCTGGGGAAGGGAAGGAGTTTGGCTCGCCTCCCACAGCTTAAGAAATGGCAGAGCTGGGATTCAAACAGAAGTTGGTGAGATTGACAAACAGGTTCGTGAACTCAAGTTCACTGCGTTGGCCAGCAGCCTTGGGCTCATGCATTTAGCTTTACTTAAGAAGCAGAGAAGTTAACTGAAACCCCCAAGATACAGACTAGGGTGTAAAAGTGACACTAAAAACAATTATTTCGTACTGTGTTGTGCTGGACACTTTATTTTTCATTACTGCTAGGACTGCTCTCAGCAGGGCCACCTCATTAGCTGAAGAAAATGTCCCCCGTTGTTCCATGAGAGATGAATCAGATGGACAAGCATGAAAACTAATTCTGGAAAATGCTTCTGTGTCTCCAGTGTAGGGAACAGTGGCCCCTTCCTCGTCTGATCCCCAGCCTCCTAAGTTGTGTTTCACTCCTCTAGTTGTGGAAGTGTTTAGAAAGGGATGGAAACAGTGTTACACGGTCATCTTCCAAAACTCTTTTATCAGTGTTTCCATAACACAGTAAATTGGGGGATTGAGCTATTGGTAAGTACACTTAATACTAGTCTGTTTTAAATTTTCCCTTGTAGGAAAGTAACAGTTTGGCTAGATGGTCCTAATTGGCTGTGAGGGATAACTAAGAGTGAATGAGTTTTTCCGTTTTTAATACTTTTTATTTTAAAACAACTTCAAATGTAAATACCTCATTAAATATATTGCTATATCTTTTAATAGACAACTCGTAGTCATGTGTTAACTGAAATACTATGACTTTGTTACTTCTGTGATTCATTCTTTATAGAGAAACCAAAGTGATCTGTTCCAAAGTGAAATTCAATCATATAGTATGTGTTCCATCTGGAAAATGCTGATATTTCTTCATGAACCATCAGGCGCACATGATCTGATACTGCCTCCAACTCTAACCATACCTTCTTTTTTGAGCTCATGCATTGCTCTCTACCTGCCCTGTTTCTACCTGGCCTTTGGTACCTGCTGTCCATCTTCATGGAACAATATTGCTTAGGAACTTAGGGAATTCCTTGTACTTATTTATGTTACAGCTCACATCTCCACAGACCACATTATTATGCTATATTGTTATTGTCCTTGTTTTGAGACAGGTCTCACGTAACCCAGGCTGACCTTGAACTTGCTGTGTAGCTGAGGATAACTTCTGATCTTCCTTCTCCCACCTCCCAAGTGTAGGGATTACATGTGTAGAACACCGTGTTTGGTTTGTGCAGTGCTGGGGATCAAATGAAGAGCTTTGTTCATGTTGGCAAGCGTTCAGCCAACCAAGCTCCATTCCCAGTCTGTATGCTTTACTTTTAATGACCACTTTCAGTGTTTAAAATGATCTTGTCTAACATGCTGTTTACTTGTTTATTTCCTAGTGAGTACTAGAATGAAGCTCCATGGAGGCAAGAAAGTTTCTCCAGTGTCCAGATTAGAACTCAGAATATAATAAGGTTCAAGAGTTCCTATTGAATGAATGAATGAATGAATGAATGTCTCCTAATTCTTTTCTTGGAATTAAGCATAAGTCTCAGAATCTTACTCTAGGACACAAATATAGTTCTCAAGTGATCTAAATCTAAATAAATATGGGACATTTCAAGTGACAATAAAAACATAAAATTCAATTATTCCTTATTCTGCCTATCACGAATGGGAATTTTATTGGGAAGTAGGAGATAAGCCAGAGAAAACCAAGAACTACTTTCTGGGGAGAAACTTAGAGCATGTCATTTATCTTTCTCTGGTCATGAACTTTTCCTTTCATAAGATTTGCATCTCCTGCTTACTTACTCCAGCATGTCCCCATAGATGCTGACCACCATTCTCCAGATGACCATCAGAACACTCCAGGTTTCTTATTTTGCACTCATATCTTTGCCCTCTCACATACAAAAACTAAGTTTCTCAACACTCCTCTGCTTAGTATCATCTCTTTCAGAGAATGGCTTTACCGTTTGATCTCTAGCAGCGGTGAACTTGGTTTGCCATAAGTCTTTGGCTTCTGCACCAAAGCCTCTGTTTGTCCCAGTTGTCCTTTTATTGAGTTCACAGAATACAAATGGGAAAAGGTTATTACCAGACGGAGATGTCTAAAAATGAAAACCGAACCTAATACATGGACTCAGACAACTGGAGTAAGGGATATAATATTTATAAAACCAAGTAGGAGGTTGCAATCATTGCTCTAAAATAAAGCATTAAAAATTAATTCAGAGAAAAGCTATCTGTGCCCCAGCAAGCCTCACTTTCATTAAAGTAGCTCTGTGGTTTCCCCAGAATTAGTTCCCAAATAGGTAAATAGCTTGTAAGAGCAGCATGCTCTGCAAGCTGTAGAAAAGTTACCTGTGGCATAATTTAGAGTTGCTCTTACTATTAAAGGCTTCCAGACCTTTTCCTTTTGAACTAATTAATTGTGATTCTTCCAGTTCCTCTATGTTTTTGCCCTGAGTATTGCTAGGAATGTTTAATTCACACGCGTCGTGTTCGTCTTCATTTGATTAATCCAAACAGTGCTACATTATTTGATTAATTCATATGCTGCAGAATATTAAATCTTGGGGAACTCTGGGTACCAGTTAGAGGTTAAACTTACATTTTTAAACAGATTTCTCCTTTCAAAAACTTCATGTTCCTCATTTTTAAGTGTTTTGTCCTTCCTCCTCTACTGTGCACTGACATTTTTAGCATTAAGTTACTAGTATCGTTGGTTTCTGGCTCAGAATACTCTAAATGCAAGAAGGAACCTTAACATGTTACACCTGCATTTTCAGGGCGATGAGGTTGTTATTCTGCCCAGTGTACAGTATTCCTGTGAAGCCCTAAAATAAATAATCTTATAATCTGTTAGCCTTATTGATTTTCAAATGATTTCAAATGAATAGCACCCAGTTACCATTGTATTGGCAGTCTGCGCAGCCTGGGGCCAGTCTTCATTGGATTCTGATAAATGAAAGAGACAAGACACACCCGAAAATCCAAAATGTAGATTTGAGATGGAGAGGTGAGCATTGCTCAGCTGGGCAAATGGGTACTTAACCTCTGACCAGTGACGACAAGGTTGCTTTAATTCTGGGAGGCCAAAAGCAAGCTGTTATGATTAAATCAAAAAAAGAAGAAAAAACTGTTCAGAGCCTTCTGAGCATGTCCTGGGAATTAAAGCATATGGCAAGGATAAGGAAAAAAAGATTTTCCTTATGCTAATGACCCTTGATGTCTGAAATAAATTAGATCCATTAGAGTTTATGCTCAATAAAAGAAAGACTTTAAGCACTCCAAAGTTAGTGACTCGAGACCAGTTTTTGCTCTGAAATTCAATCTGCCTGCTTATTAATTCTTAGTGAGGCTCCAGAGCAGACAGGGGATACAAAGTCATAATTCTGTACTGAAGCGGAATTTTAAAGGACCACAGGTTACTTTTCCTTTTCTTTTAATTAAATCATTTCTCATGCTTCCCATTTTGTTTTCCTTCATTAATTTGATTTTGTTCCCATTTCTGTTTCATTTTTTTTTCTTTTCAAGGTTTCATTTACCCTATTTCAACTGAACAGAGAACTCAGAATGAATATGGATTTTCTTGTAAGTTTGATGTTTGAGTTTTATGTTGGGAAATAATCCTTTAACATTATTGCCCCTGTTCAAGTTTGCCTTTCCTTGGCTCACAGATGTGCACACAGGAAACAGGAGCGTAATGTATTCTAACATGAAAAACAAATTAGATTTTCAATGCTGAAGAGAAGAAAGGGTCATTTTAAGTCACTGCCAGCTTTAAAATCTATCAGTTCACCATCTAAAGCATGAGTCCCAATCACTGAGAAAACATATCATGAAATTGGCTGTTATAAATAAAGGGCAGAGTTCAAATACTAAAAAGAAGAAGGTTGAGAAAATGCAGATCTGTTGTGCTGGAAACCATAAATAAGTAAAGTAAAACATTAAAGGATTTAGTTATAGCATTCTGATCAGAGTTCAGAATCCTGCTACAGGGCCTCCAATAAAACCCCACAGCGAAGCGAAGTCAGCATATTGAAAGCAGTCCTGACACAACCAGGAGTACTGGGATGTTGGAGGGACAGTCCAATATTGACTTGATTGATGGGAAATTAAATATTGTTGAAATTATGGGAAGGGCAATTTAAAAAAAAAAAAAAAAAAACCACAATATCATGTCCCAGTCTATGTAAACTCAGAATACTAAAAGGAACAGGCAATTTCCGACAGCAAATTTATTTAAACTGACAGTGTAATGGAAGACAGTGGGACACAAGATTGGAGGGTATTTTTGGGGGACAGTCCAATATTGACTTGTTTGAGGGGAAATAAAAATTTTTTAAAATTATGGGAAGGGCATTTTAAAAAAAAAAAAAAAAAAACCACAATCATGTCCCAGTCTATGTAAACTCAGAATACTAAAAGGAACAGGCAATTTCCGACAGCAAATTTATTTAAACTGACAGTGTAATGGAAGACAGTGGGACACAAGATTGGAGGTTGTACTAGGGGCCCCTGGCAAAGGAAATGATGAGCTATTTCCACATATAAACTGTGTGGCTCTGAGTCTTGGGAGACAGCAATGGTCCCTCAAGTATTAGAAGATCTCAAAACCTATAAACTTGAGAATTCTTTCTCTCCCCAGAGCATACAGATATGTAAAATTGACCAAATAATTTTGGGTTGTCCTTGACCACCTGAAGTACCAATTTAATCATCCATTCCATAGTGAAGAGACCAACTTTAACTTTGCTGAGAATTTCCTTCGGGTTATAGAAAACTAAAAACAGAAATTTGATGTCAAAGTTGTTCAACAAAGTTTTCATCTTCTCTGTTTTGTTTGAATAATGAGATTCTGTCAACTTTTCCAGTTGGATGAAAGCATATTCCATGCTCTCAAGGCAACATGCAACATTTATTAAGAATTCTGTTCTTAACATTACCCAGTAACAGCCCTGTGTGAACTGCATCTTGTGCTGGTCAAAAACTTACCTGCCTTCTTTGGTTGCCGGACCATTGTGATCACTGAGTTAGACCTTGATCTTAGTGTACCATGAAGCTACAGTTTATTCGAATGATGAGAGGCACAGATGTAAAGCTCCAACAAGGGCCCATGAGAAGCTCAGGAATCTCAGAGATAACATTGCATCTGTATCAAAAGCTGGGCCTTGGAGATCATTACAATTAACCTCTGCACAGGATCTGGGCCTCTGAAAGCACACCTTTCTAATTCAACATATTTGCTCCTCAGATTTGCTTTGCTTAGTTGTCCCGTTCCTACCTACCCATTGCCCCCACTGATTAGAGGGAAGAGAGAAGAATGTTATGGAAAGTAATTTTATGACTTGGAATGGTACTTAGGAAAATCATCCTGGTTCAACCACATACAGATTCAAATCAAACCAGATATTTCTGACAGTGTTTATGGTCTTTTAGAAAAGAACTATCAGTGGATTCAAAAACCCTTCCAAACTTTTTCACCTGAAAGGGTAATAAATTTTTATTTCCTGTGGGTTGAGATGATTTGGGCTCCAGTGTCTTTATATGTCTGATAATAAATGGTCTGTTATGCTTGCTGCCCAATTATAACACAGATTAGTGGGTGGATTGATGCAGGGTGAGAAAAAGAAATCAGATAATTTTCCACATTTTATATAGCTTTTGAAATAGATTTGAAGTTAACCTATAAAAATGGCAATAAATGTCTGAAAAAATGTAGCAAATACATATGTGTACTGGAGGAAAGTGTCTACAAGCAGTTGGGTCCAGTGTTTCCTTCTTTCTCTCTAGCTGCTCCCGATTCAGATGATGTTGCGCTCTATGCTGGCATTGTGATTGCAGTCATAGTTTGCCTGGCCATCTCCATTGTGGTGGCTCTGTTTGTGTATCGGAAGAACCACCGTGACTTTGAGTCTGATATCATTGATTCCTCAGCACTCAACGGGGGTTTTCAGCCTGTCAACATCAAGGCGGCAAGACAAGGTCGGTAGATGTTCCATCTGGCACTCTGTGAGTTCTACAAGAGAGCAGTGTGTGTGCTTAGCTTCAAAATCAGTGGCATTTGGGTCATTCAGTTCAGCTAGATTGTAAACTCCGTGAAGACAGTGGTTTTTTTGTTTTGTTTTGTTTTGTTTTGTTTTGTTTGGTTGACTTTGTTCCTTATGGGAGCAAAATTCCACATAACAAATCGGAATTGATGAGGTATACAAATCATCTCTGGTTTTCTTTTCTGAGTGGTGTCTCTGTCTTGCTTGTTAACTTGTATTTGAAAAAGCAAGTGCAATCCCAGGACTCAGGAGGCAGAGGCGGAGGCAGGCGGATCTCTGTGAGATCAAGGCCAGCCTGGTCTATATAGTGAGTTCCAGCCCAGCTGGGGATACAGGGAGACCTTGTCTCAAAAAGATAAAAAATAAAAATTAGAAAAGAAGGAAGGAAGGCAAGTGCATTGATTCATTTTAAGTATACTGATTCATTGTTTTTGTTTTATTTTGTCTTGTTTTCTGGACTTCTTTTGCCCTTCTTTATTGCTTTTAATGAAATGGTATGCACATAGACCAAAATCTAGTTTAAACAAGCAGAGCCATTAGCAACTAATGGCTGTGTGGGTCTTATTGTTCAATCCAACCAGTTGCAATAGCAAAATATCTTGAGTATCATGAGTAGACTTCAAAGCAAAATGTAGAAGGAGCTAGGCTACATATCTACAGTCAGTAACAAGATGGATTCTAATTTTCTGCTTGCCCTGTTTTGTGGAGCCTTAAAGTATGTACATATCCAATGTTAACTGAGCTGCTTTACCTTTGGTTTAGCAAGTGTGAAGGGGAATCTTACTAATACAGCTTGCCCAGAATGCAGAATGCAATTCAAATTCCTTTCTCTTTCTGGCTCAGATCTATTGGCAGTACCCCCGGACCTCACATCGGCTGCAGCCATGTACAGGGGACCCGTCTATGCTCTACATGACGTCTCAGACAAAATACCCATGACCAATTCTCCAATTCTGGACCCATTGCCCAATCTGAAAATCAAAGTGTATAACACTTCAGGCGCTGTCACTCCCCAGGATGACCTCTCTGAGTTCACAACCAAGCTGTCCCCCCAGATGACCCAGTCATTGCTGGAGAGTGAGGCCCTCAACCTGAAAAATCAGAGTCTTGCAAGACAGACTGACCCATCTTGCACAGCATTTGGCACCTTCAACTCCCTCGGAGGTCACCTCATTGTTCCTAACTCAGGTAATTCTTAAAAGTTTAAATGACAAGGGCACATGAAAACATGTATGTGTCCTTAACTCTTGTCTGTTTTTAATAGACCTGAAATGTTAAATCCATTTAACTCAAATTTCCATTATATATACATATATATGTATATATCAAACATTGCTTCATAGAAATCAGCAAAACCATTTATCTTCCTCTTACCAACTCTGAATTCAGTTCCTCTAGAAACAATTTTGTTCTTTGATATAATTCAGAACTGTCACTGACCATCTACAACACGATCAAGCCAGGGAACCTCACTGTAACCACTATACCGCAACATAACAAATTAATTAGGAAACGCAATCAGCTGGCTCAGTTCCGATTTATTCAAGGAAGGTGTACTTCAGAAAACTAATTTCTACATGATTACAAACATAATTGATACGAAATCTTCATTTATTAATTATTCATTGCAGCATTCATCCGGAAAGTGTTTGTAAGGGATTTACTCCACCTCTGATAGTTTGAGCTACACCCGAACAAATCTGTTTCATTCAATGTCCACCTGTAGTCTTCCTTACTTTTAAGTTTATTATGTAGTTTATCAACACCTAGAGGATTAAAACTCATAATAGTCTTCCGGGATGGATTTAAGTTGATGACTGCCAATATTTAAGGTCAGTGTTCATTTCCAGCAATAGTGATATAATTGCAACCATGAGTCATGAGAGGGAAAGTTACCTATATAAAAAAAAAAGAATAATGTGTTTTATAACACATTATAAAGTATCAGATACTGAGTTTCAGATACTGAGTTTGCGCTTAAATAAAGGTAAATAAGAAGCAAAAAAGAGGGATATACATACGTGCATATGTATATATATATGCAGAGCCACAGAAATTTGAAATTTTTAGGCTAATATGTAGCTCTCCTTGACTTATCTTATTCAGTCCCCTGATTTTAGTGCTTTGATGACTTTTTACCCTATGCCTTTTAAAAAATATTGTAACAAAATTGAAATTATTTAATAGAATATTGTTTTTCCTTTTTCCTATATATTTTACATGCTTGATATCATATGTCCTGTAAAGTGCTTTTTAAGCTTTTCTCATTAACTCTTATGCTACTTGTATGCTCTTTTAAAATCATAACACTTATTTATAGTTGTCCACTAAATTACCAAACATATCCCAGCCTTCCATTTACCCCTAAGAGTAGTTTCCCACATGCTGCTCATTGACTCCTGCTCTTCTTCCACTTCTACACCCAGCACTCCTCCATGTGTGAGTTATGATAAAGGCTTCTTTAGGCAGAGAGAGAGGAGCTAGCATATTGTAAATAATATGTGTGAGGCAAAAGTGGTCAATTCACATTATTTCATTTAATAGTGAACAGTAGTTTCCCAATATGTTAAGCATTATTCCTTTTACTTTGTGTCCATGTATTTTTTTCATCCCCACGACAGAGGTCAAGGTACATTTTCTGATTTAATTGAAAATTAAAACAAATGTGGAGTCTCAGTTGCCTCATGTTCCATTCCCTACCTGCCCAAGTCACTCTTACATTAACAACACATGTTCACTTCCCCAACACCACAGCTTGCTTCTAAGTTGCCTTCTTGAGAAGGCCATGACTCAGCATCTTCATCCATTTCCATCAAACCCTTTGAAAACACCCTCCCCCAATTCTCCTTTCCTTGTTCTTGAGACTCACCCATTTGGGCAAGTTTTCTTGTGGCTTCAGCTCATCCAGCATATTCTATTGCATGCTACATAATTACATGTTACTCAAGGACAAGAACACTTTTACTTCTTGGCATTACAAAAGTTCTAAATACTGTTTTCACAAAAATAGTCCATGCATTTTTATGGCACCAAATTAATCAACATTTCGTGAGAATGAAATGATAGACCCAAACAATTTCAGTGTCCCTGGTCACTCTGTGGTGGTGGTCGATAGTGCTGGGCCAGAGTGCTCAAAGGGTAGATCATAGACCATTGTCTTGGATATTATCTCACAACTTGTTAGTACGTGCAACCAAAATCTCCCACCTGCTTCAAATTTTGGAACCAGGACTTCCAGGTGATCCTGATACAAGCTCAAATTGTCACATCAACACCAGAGGCCCAGTTCTAACATAGCTCAAGCCAATAATTTTATCCTCTCAAGACCAATCAGCAGCTAAGTGGGCATCTTTGGACTGCTGAATCTGTACTAGAAGTCACTGCTCATTTTCTAGAATTACGTATAATAAAAGCTATTCTTCTTCATGTCTTACTCTTCTGTAGAATATCACTGATGCTAACCAGATATTTCAGGGAAGAAAAATATGTTTTCTGTATGGCCAAGGTCAGCATTTCCCTGACTCTGAATTTTGTGGGGAATTTCTTTAATAAAAAGAATTATCATTACAACTGTTTAAGATTTTAATAGCAGTTATGAGTTTCCCCTTGTCTTACAAGGAAAACAATGGAGCATCTGTTTATTTCCTAAATAAGACCTAACTTTTAAAAATGGCATTACTCTCATACATAACTCCATAACAGTTCAGAGGGAGCTGTGATAAAAAGTTAAGGCCAGCAAGGAAGTAAAGCAGGACGACTATAAATATTTACACATCTTTAGAGAAAATGAGACGGCTGGAGCCACATGGGTACAAGACCTTCTCCTTCCCTTTTGCTTACTGCAAGGTATTCTAGAAGTTTCCTTTTGTTCATAGGTCTCACACAAGTACTTTTCTCTTTTGCTATTCAGGAGTAAGCTTGCTGATTCCCGCTGGGGCTGTTCCCCAAGGGAGAGTCTACGAAATGTATGTGACTGTACACAGAAAAGAAAATATGAGGTAAATACGCTTTTTCTGATGCATTTGACTTTAGTCTAACTTGGAGGAGCATTGCACAATAGAAATAAACCTAATTTATTTTTGTCTTGAGTGACATACATTTTTCACCTAGACCTGTAAAAAAATGTTCTCTTTACCTCTGAAGCTTTAGACATTTTGCATATCTTGATTATGGATGGGATGATAGAGATCTTTTTCCCACGTGGACATGTGATCAGAAAACTATGGCAAAAAATGCACTCCACAGATTGTCCAAAGATGTATGGATTTGAATAGATCCTTGTTTCCTGTGGCCGGGCTCAAGAAGCTAGCCGTTGTAGAGTTAAAGGTGGTAAAAGACAGGGTACCATTTAGCCCCTGACCTGCCCCTTATATCTCAGCTTTGCACAAATCCTTATCCACAGACTCTTCCTTCTGCAATTCTCTTCCCGCTAAAGAGCTGTCAACCTCTTCCTTATGCTTAACATTTATAATTACAGATTTCAAAATGGGGCTCGTGTTGATTAAAACTGGATAGAATCGAAAGTCTGTTTTGAATGTGTCACAATCACAAATATGAAGTCAGTTTAAGTAAAAATAGAGTTTAGATGTCTTAAATTCAATTTTCAATTTAGCCTCTGAAATATCAAAGATGGTCTTTCTTGATTAGTTCCCACAAAAGATGTGTGTGTGTGTGTGTGTGTGAAGTAATGTATTTAGAAGTCTGATTAATTAATGCTTCCATCCAAATAATATGTGGAGATGTTAAAACAAAAGCTGTTCTTTTTTTTTTTTAAATGGAGACGCTCATCATGTCAAAGTCATTGTTGTGCCCAGGAAGGCATCCTCAGGCCTGAGTGATAAATGCGGGCCCAGTACCTTACTCATGCACTGGACGTTTCCTCCTGCTCTCCTCCTCAGGAAGCCATCCTGTTTTAGTCTTGTTCATCAGTCACTGAAAAGCTCTTTTATTATGCACCCAGGCAGAGACACTGGTGGTATAACCCAAAACATTTTTTTCCCCTCAGGTGATGCCCCTTTACCCACACAAACAATAGCCACACTGCAGGGGGGGAAACAGCCCTTGAGCATTATTCAGGCTTTAAATTTGACCCACAGAAAAATCAGATAAGGTCTGTATTTATGTCCACCAAATAGTCATGTTTAAAAATTCCCAGTGCAAAACAACATTCATAGGCCCTTAGAGCTTCCTTCTTTTGTAGCTGGAAAAAGATTAGCAAATTCCAGTATCTTTTTATATTGTTTTCTCTTGTCTAATGACAAGGTAAACATTGAATAGATACTCCACCAAGGCCTTTGCCACCCTAGGCAATTCCTTTGAGCAGAAGTCAGGGCTGGCTTGTGCTTTCTGCTGAGAAGCTATGCAGTGCTCTTGGCCTGTTCTGTTCATCTGATTACCATCACCTCCATTTGAAGCCCAAACCATCTGGGGCTGCAGCCTAGACCTCTGCCCCTGAATGATGTGACTTCTCCCACACTCCTCCAGCTTTCCTTCCCATCCTTTTGTGGTACCCTCACCAGGATAATTGCCAATATTAGAAAAAAAAAAGAAAACATAATATCGTTAAGGCCGGAGACCTCTCCTTTTAGGTTCCACTGCCTCTTTGTAAAGAAAAAGAAAGGATAATCGCTTCTTGCTGTGCCTACCACCTAGTTAGGTTCAGGAGGAATCACTCTATTGAGTCTGGTGCACATCAAGGAAGTTGTGCACATGGAGAAAGGACAAGGTCTCAAAAGAAAATATGCATGAAGTAGAGCTGGGGAGCTCAAGGGAAAGGTGCTTGTCATGCAAGTATGAAGGCCTGAGTCCAATATCCAGCACCGGGTGAAGGCTGGGCATGGTGGCACACACCCATATCCTACCACTGAGAAGGCAGAGATGGGAGGATCCTGGGGCTTGCTGGCTAGCCATTCATACCAGATTGGCTAACTTCAGTTTCAGTGAGAGATTGTCTCAGGAAAATAAGTTGTAAAACAATTGAAGAAGACACGTGACATTCACCTCTGGCCTCCACAAAAAAAAACACATAAACGCACATGCACACACACAAAAGAAAATATATACTGGAGACTGAAATAAAGGATCAATATAACTTCTTGGATGAATGAGAAGTCCTCACACTGTTAATATTCCTCACAGAAATAGATGTATTTTCCCCATAAAACACAATGTGTTGCAGAATGGAGCAGTAATGGGAAATACCACTGACGTTTATTCAGTATACTATTATATACATTATCCTTAATGCAAATCTATACATTATGATAGTCCCACCCTAAAGATGATGAAGTCAAGGCTCAAGGAAATTAAATCTCCTAGCAAAATGTCTCAGTCCATAACAGAGGAGGGCAGAGTTCAACCCAAGTTCACCAGACACTGAGGTTCTTCTGTTTTCCAAGCTGACATCCTTCCTGTATAGCCCCACTGCACAGACCAAGCTTCTGCCTTCTGCGTTTCTGGCATACTTTCTATTGCCCACTAAACCCTTCCAGTCTTCATGTAGTACAGATAGAACTCTTCTGACAGAGACAGGATGAGGACATCCAGAGATGAGTGCCACTTGAGGCATCTGTAGCAAAATTCTGAACATTTGCCTTCTCCCCGCTTCCTTTCATTGCATCCAGAGCTGGCTGTGCTTCCAGCTGGATGGTGCCCAGCTGGTCAGCTGCTGGTGTGAGTTATTTGAAGGGAGGCGTGAACTTAATTACATGTGGCACCGTGAATGTGACAAGCGGAGCCTTATCGTTACTGAATGTGGGCCATGCAAAGCACAGCTGGGCAGATGTGTGACCTAAATGAGCCAGAGATGGGAGAAACCATATCTGACTAAAGATCATGAGAGTGGTTAGGCTGGGCCTCTTAAGATTTCTTCCTCTCCTACTTCCCAGAGCTCTGAGGTGAGTGCAAAGCCTCAGATTCCCCTGTGAATACCATTTCCACAGTTTCTATACAAATGTGGCCCTTTCTGTCTTGTTTCTAGAATCAGTTTTTAAAAATAAATCTGATGAGACCAAAACTTCATCCTTTATGAGTTTCTATAAAAAAAAAAAAAAAATTTGAGGATCTGAAAGTCAAGTCTCCCTTTCTGATTCCTGTACTGGACCAGCAGTTTATTCAATTGGCCAGCTGAAAAATAAGTTTAGAAATTGCAAATGTGAAAGTAAATAGAACTCTTTTTGTAAACTGTGGGGAGCCAAAGAAAGTTTCTAAGCAGCTAAGTGACACCAGAATAGCAGTGCTTTTAAAGGACAGATATGGTGACTGCTAATGCACTAGAGGAGGGAACAGAAGTCTTTCTGAAGGCTCCAGGTTGGGTTGGGCTGTGGTCATTATCTAGGTATGAGTAGAGAAGGGAGTAAACCAAGCATGAGGTTAAGAGAGTAGACAGTGGAAGTAATAGCAAAAGAAAAGCTTTTTTTTACCTGGCATGAAGTGTTGCAGAGAAACACAGGGGACAGATTTAAGACAGGAGTCCTGGGCACTGTGAGAATTGGTTAAGCATTGATGGAGGGCTGGAACAGCTATGGACTGCAAGGGAATCCTAAGATTCTAAAGGAATGCTCAGGGACAGGCTATGGTTTCTGATAGACGCAAAGAAGCAAAGTGTCAGTGGGAATGAACTTCTAAGGCCAAAAGATGAGGCAGGGAAAGAACGATGGGCAGTGCTCCCACTCTGGTTTAGATTGTAATGTGAGAAACTAAACATGGAAAGGTAAGGCAGACAGACAGATTGTATCTGGTACAGGGGTTGGCATAAAATGGCTCCTACACCAGCATTTTTAAATTGAAGAATGATTGTGTATAAGGATAAATTAGCCATAATATGAGAAACTTGAAAATCAAAGGTAAAGTGATCTCTCAGCTCAAGTGGGTAGTAACAATGGTGATATTAAAATGAAAATGTAAATAATGGAGACCAATCTTAAAACTATTGGATTTGTCAACTTCAGTGTGCTGGCAGCCTTTAGAAATGTTTTATTACTGAAATCCTCACTGGATTTCACTAGTGTCAGTTAGTGGGAAAGCAGCTAAACCTTCATCTGTCCCCCAGTGCAAGTCATAAAGTCTGGTACATGGAGGCCAAGCCCAGAGTTCCCTTAAACGGTGATCATGCACTATGTCATTTTTGTTCAATGTATCCTTTGGAATTCAGTAAAACAGTCGTTGCAGTATTTCTCACAGAAACTAGGAGCTAGTTCTCCTTTTAGGGAGAGATTCCTCACTTGTTCATGAGTCCTGAGTTCCTCAGTTTGGAGGAAGCACTACAAAAAGCCTAAAGAGGGAAGCAGTAGAGTCCAGCATATGTAAATATCATTCTTACAACTCTAAGCAGTTTTATTTATTGAAATTATAATTATAAAGAAAAGCTTCAAGGTAATTCTTTAAAAAAAAGTTTTGTTCAATGAAAGGCGAAAATCAATTAGGATAAAAATGATAAGAAAGTACAGTTATAAAAGAGAAGATAAAGTCAGGTTTGGATTTAGAATATGAAACATGAGCCATAATTTGCAACACATTTCCTTGTATTAAGTAATGACTGACAATTCCAAAGCTTTCATGAGGTGAATGTGTCCAGACACAGTGGTGGTGGCCTGGGAGGTTTGGGAGCTCAAGTTCAGCTGTGGTGACAGAGGAAAACTGTCTCAAAAAAGAAAAAGAAAGGAAAGGAAGGACTAGGAAATAAAATGAAAAATAAGAAGAAGGAGGGGCATGCTATGTTATAAGACCCCATGAAAAACAGCTGAGGAGTTCACGTTCTCATAAAGATATTTTGCTAAGGTAGTCACTGGCATCCTTAAAAACAGCAAAGAGTTTCCAGACCTGCTTCTATTGGTGTCCTTCAAGGGAAGTTTGTACAAGACCCAAGTACAGACTCAGTTCCCAAGGATTCAAGCATTCTTCGCATCCCACAATGTCCAGCTGCTCTGAGTCAATCCAGGGGTAGACTAAGCCGGTCTGAGGAAGTGGTAACACACCCAAGTGGCTTTCATAAATGTTTATTTTTGCTCAATTGAGCTTTAGATAAATAACAAGTGAGTTGGATATTCCATGTCAGGAATCAAGAGTGCAAATATTTCAAGTTGCCAGTTATGTGGGAAGGCATGAGCTTTAAAAGTCAGCTGAGCCTGGGGTGGTGTTGTCTCCCTGAGGGACATGTGCATTCACAGAAGGAACCTCTGTTCACATAGAAGTGGGTGGAGTACAGATCCGTTTCAAGGAATTTTGTTCTAGCAAAACAAAACAATAAGAGTCCATAAATTCAGTATAAGCAACCCCAAAGAAATCAGAGTGAAAGAAATGAAATAACTTGTGTGAGAAATCTAGCTGTACTAATCATTAGCCCTGCTTCCTCAGGCAAAGGTGTTAATGTCTGTAAATTTTGGTTTCTTCTGCAAAGGGGTAATATAAATACTTGACCTTATAGGTGGGTCGTGGGCAGCAAATGCTGCCTCTTACATGAAAGTGTTCTAAAATGATGCACTTTTATGTAGAAGTTCTCACCGATAATAGCAGGCAGTGGATGAAAGAAAATCTGACAGGAAACAAGCCCCTCCCTGTGAGCTTGTTCTAGGAACCTTGGGACCTGTCCAGCTTTTACCATGATTTTTTTTTTCTTGCTAGAATTTTGTTGAAAGGCTTTTAAAATTCTGATCATTGGTCATTGCTGAATTTCTACTTAATTGCTACCTCTGTAGCTAAGTTTTGTTCACTATTCATTTCCATGTCATCCTCAATTAATATGTTCAGACCGTTTGCTTGAATAGCTCAGATAGCACATGAGACTTTAAAAGACTGAAGCCCTCCTTTGCAAGATCATAGATGAGACATATTTAGTTTTTATTGTCTTGCTTTATGTCCTTTGACTGTCTTTTTACATAAGTAATGGCAGTGTGAATTCAAACACTTCTGACCTTTGGCTTCACATAGTTAAATCTTACCTCAGTCTCTCCTTCCATACATAGATGGAATTGTTACCAGATTCTACTCTACATATTTCATCTTGAAAGCATATGGGAGATTCTTATGTCTTCTTTGTTTTTCATCCTATTAGGAATTCCGCTTCATCACTTTCTATTCCTTACAGTCTTGCACCTCACTGCGTTAATAAATTCTTTTGACACCCATTGCCCCTCCTCCAACTCCCTTTCCCGTGCTTCCCCTCCTCCAGAGCTGTGTGCATCAATATTGCATGCCAGGGGTGTGCTCAGAGTGCCCAGCTGACAGGTCCCCAGCCCAGCAGGGCATCCTTTTCTCTTTTCTGTATCAGTGCAATGCGAATCCCCTCCTGCCAGTTTTCAAGCACAGGCTGCTGCCACCAGCCCGTCCCATAGACAGCTGTTTCTGATCCCCAACTCTATGCAAGGGCCACTTGAAATGGATCCACGGGAGGCCCCCTTTTTAAAAGCTTAATGCTCACTTCTCAAGGTTAACTTGTAATTAAAAGATAAGAGTGGTCCTCAGGAAAATGCAACCATTGCAAATTTCTTTCTCTTCTGGTAGGAAGTGATATTAGGCAATAATAAAGTCACTGGCAAAGGCAGATATTCTAATATTAACTATGAGACATGAAAACAAAACCACTCATGTTGTAAGAATGTGAATTCTAGAAGAAGAAAGACAAACTTGGTTAAGAGAAAATAAAAACTAAAGTGTAGAAGGGATTGGACTGAGGTCTCATGCTCCAGCCAGCAACCTCATGCATGATTTCAAATCTAAGTTCACTCCCAAGTGAAACTGTCTTTTTGATACAAGAAATTTGTTATTCAAGACATTAAAAGGCTGAAATAGGAAAAGCTTGTAGAAAAGCCACTAGTTGGTAAGGTCCTGGTCCTACAGGGAAAGAGGAAGCAATGAGAGCCAGGGCTTGATAAAGGCAATAAAGACCAGATTTTAATTTGAGTTTAGAGGATAATGACACCTCTTACCTGTGAAAGCTCTAAGGTCTAGCCTTACTTATGAGCTATCAGGTTAGCTGACACAGTTTTGTCACTACTAATAGAAGGTGCAAGATTCTTAGGTCAGTTTATTAGGCATAGCAATGGCATGATCTAGAGTATCACTATTTTGTCCTAGTTTCCTGAGCTGAAGATCCCAGAGAGTGACACAAAAAGGGGCAGGTGACACCTACATACTCAGTAGCTGTATTTTAGTAAGGACCTCTAAACTTGGGGAAGCTGGGTCTTTCTTAATGGGAGGTAGCTCTGCTTACCATTTGCTGCAGAGGTAGATATCTTTATCTTCCAAGGCAACTGCAGGCAAGCATCCTTAAAAAAAAGCCAGGAGCATGGATAATAATAATAAATTCATGGAGAATTATCTTCCAACAGTACTAAAGGTAATAATAGCTTCTATCATTCATTCATTTATTCAGTGTTAAATGAGGGTAGGCCAGAAATATAAACTAACTTCTAGATGCTATAGTCAATGGTATATAAACTATAGATAAAGACTAGAAAAAAATAAAATTCAGTCAACCATTGCAATTATGAAGATATTTGAGATATCCTTTTCAATGTCCATATGAATAAGACAGATGTCAATGAGATTATGTGATTTTTAATGGGTTTATATTTAGTTGAGCTAAATACCTCAGAAGTATTGAAGTTAGGCTTTATGCCTTGTCCTTGAAAAGTCTTTATCCTTTCCTTATTCGTATATTACAAGGTTATCAGTGATTGTGATAAGCACATAAACGGCAGGCATATCAGATGTTATGAAAGATGCAGTAAGACTTTGGGAGATAACCATATTTGGGGGAGTGATATAGCACTATGGAAGTATCTTGAATATACTAAAGTAAAACTAAAAAGGCCAAATGTACATATATCTAGTTTCAAATGCATCATTACAAGCACAAAGCTATGTAGATTTGGTATAACCTAAGATCTTTTTATGTTAGGAATATTTGAGTGCTATGTTTTAATGAATTACCCAGCTTCCAATGGCCTTCATTGCCTACTTTTAAACAATGTTATTCCTATCCTTCCCTCTTGACTGGAACCTGCTAAATAAGATTTGTGTTATTAATTCATTGAGAGTAATCTAAGACAATGGTTTTGTGAGGTAGCTGTGTAATCTAAATCAAAGAAAAGAGTAGGCACCCTGTACTGTGCTTAAGTATTTGGAGCTTAGTGAGGTACTAAATCACTGACAGGTTCTACATGAAAATGGAGAAAGCAAAGACACATAAGGAACGACATAAATCCATGCTTGCCAGCTGCTGGGGAAACTGAGGATGCTGGCTCGTAATAGAGAAACTATCAAAATAATCTTCAAATACATGAAGCGAAAGGGGCTGGTTAGTGGGCCAAGAATATATGGAAAGAATGGGCTAGAAGGAAAATTCTAGTTCATTTTGAGTTGATATCAAATTAGATGATTCCTTGGTAGAAGTGGTCTGTAACGTTGAATATGTCTAAGGCATGACACACAGGTCAGCCTTATGATCATGAGGCCCTTGCTGCAGATGGAAGGGGTGTTCAATCCTTTAGGGCCCTTCTAAAATTCCTTGTGTCCATATTGTTCTGACAGGAAGTTTGAGCATTGTTGAGAAGCATGAGTTTTCCTCTAATAAGAAGCCAGCATTGGTGAGATTATGAGCAGTGACCTCAAGAACTTGAAGACAACTTCCTCACGCATCCTTCAGTAGCTCCGACTACTTAAGCTGTTTGCTTATTGCTTAGTCTTGTGAGGGAAACAAATTAAGAGAGTTTAGGGAAAAAAATCAAAAGAAACAGTTTGGATAATTGAGTTCTCTTTTGACCAAATTCCTGGAGTATGAAATATGTAACTAACAAGGAACATTTATATATCATACTATAATGAGATAGGTATGTCTCATATGTTTATATATCATAAGTAATAAGTAACATTTTAATTTGCTGTAGAAATATAGTTCTATAGCTTTATAATTATATTTGAAAGAATGAACCTGCTATACTAGATGAATTATTCCTGAAAGTCATTTGGACTAACTTTAGCTCTAGGGTGCCCTCATTCTGAAGTGAGTTTTTTGAAGTAATTTTTAAGTTAGGCCTTAAAACCACAAAATTATCAAAAACCCTGTGAGACCCATGGCAAGTGCTATCAGAAAAGCTGCTTATGTAACTTCATAAGGATTCTGTTCGTTCTCGTTCCATCCTAAAAGTCTCAGAGCATGAGTGCAGAGGAAGCTGCCAAAGGCAGCCCCATGTCTGAGAGAAGGGATCAAAGGGATGCTGGCAACAGCCCCGCTATCACAAAGACCTCCAGTCTTGTAAGATCAAAGTCTTGGTATAAAGAACATGGCTTCCTATTTATTTCTGCCTCAGCCTACCCCCCTCCCCACACAAAAGTGCTAAGAGGAGGTGATTTGAACTGTTTATACAACTTTAGATCTCAGATCTCAGTGACTACACAGTGCATAAATACTATGGAAATGTCACGGGTACGGTTGCTTCTCTGCTCTCCCTGCAGGCCCCCTATGGAAGACTCTCAGACTCTACTGACCCCTGTAGTGAGCTGTGGGCCTCCAGGAGCCCTGTTGACCCGCCCGGTCATCCTCACTCTGCATCACTGTGCGGACCCCAATACTGAGGACTGGAAAATCCAACTCAAGAACCAGGCAGCTCAGGGACAGTGGGAGGTGAGTATCTGTGGGAGAAAAAGAACCCATGCTCAGCACAGGAGCAACCGGGAGGCCTGTGTCTCTATAGCAAAACATGAGTGGGATTTTAGCTCATACTCAAAATGAGAGACAGATGACCAATTCCTGCTTGCTACTTTATATTCTGAAAGAGAGGTACAAGGAAAAAGATGTTCAAATGTTATTTAACTCATGGAAAAAGGATACTCAGAATTCCCCTCGGAGTATAAGCACTACATGTAAGGAAGGGATGGATGAATGGATGGAAAAGAAGGAAGGAAGGGAGGGATGGAAGGAGGGATGGACGGAGGGAGGGACGAGGGGAAGGAAACATTCTTAAATTTACATGTATTGCACCTCAGTCAGAAAATCTTAAGCAATTACTTATAGGCAAGTCCTTAGGATATAAGTTTTGTTAACTTGACCTGCAAGAACAGAAAGAATGGACTCCAAAACTGCCCTAGAATGAGGGAAGCCTGGCCTCTTGTCCCTTTGTGACTTACCATCATAATTTTTAAAGGACAGTACTTTAAGTGGGTTCTGTTCCTTAATTCAGAACTCTTCACTTATCATCTAGAAATATGGCTATCAAATACTATGCAAATGATAATATAAATGTATATTTATATACATTTTGCATATGCAAATCATTAAATTATAATATGATTACCTATGGTATTTTTAGGGAAAAAAATGTAAAGCTATACATGAAAATTTAATTTTTTTTAATTGAAAGCGCTTTAGGAAAACAGAGTTTGCAGAGAAGTAGGGTGTCCTAGGATTAAATGGATCTTCGCTGTGAACATTGGCTACTCTTGGCCATGTGAGGGGATTACTCTTATCAGGGCTCCTGAAATCCAGGATGGAGTTTAGTGGTACCCTTTAAGTAGAATCTTTAAATAGACTTAAGCCTAATTTTACTTTTACTGAGCTTCCTACTAATAAAAAGTACCTTAAGCCCTACCTTAAGTATTTGCAAAAATTCTCTGCTGAATACCTTTTCCATTTCTGGGGCTGAGTAATAGTAACAGCGACAGAGTAATGAAGTCTAGCATCTAGGCAAGTACAAGGGACAAGCCTCATGCAGACACTTGCAGAGCAAGACTGGACTATGGCCCCTATGGCTCATTAGGTCCTGCTGAAGACAGCAGCCCCTCCCACATGTCCTGGGAGGTGGAATAAACTTGGAGGTACTGGTTGCTTTCACCTTGACATTGTGAGCTTCCCTTAGGTTCAGTTGAAAATATGCTTTCATTGATGCTGTTAAAATACAGCTCATTATAATTTAGATGATGTCATAGACCTAACTAATAGGCTGTCACTTGAAGTGGCTACTTCTTTCATATTTTTCCCCAGGCCTGGACACTAAATTTATCATGAAACGTTTATTCATTTGGGGGGTGACTGAGCATTCACCATGAGCCACACCCACTGGGGTGGAGTAGGAAGCAATGTAGAAATGGTTCCTGCCCTGTGGAAGTAAAATGCCCTAATTCAGAGATGAAATCATGCTCATGCATGTGTTTCATTTCTCACACATGAAATTATCTTTTAAACCTGAATTAGTTAAAAGTTGGGAGGCTTTATATAAAAACAGAATGTGTCCTTTTCTGAGGGAATTCATAGCTCTTGCTGGCTGTAGGCCTGCCATCCTCATAGCCGAGCCCAATGGGCATCTGAGAATCTACCCAGCCATGTGCTCTACTTTACCAGTCTCCACCGCTCATCAGCTTTGGTCCTGCCTCTTGCCCCAGGAGACATTTAGAATGCTGACCCTTGGCCATTGAAATAGATCTAAATGTGGTGGAATTAGTAACTCCATTTTTTTAAATCACTTCCTTTTATTCTTTTTCATCAGTAAATGTTTTTAAGACTAAAAGAGTAAACTGTTCATTGGATCATATGAAATGAGAACAAGGATAAGGCAGTGTATAGTTGTCATAGCTTGGCTTACAGAGGCTCTGAGTATTGAGATTATCTAGGAAGTATCTTCAGAGAAGCCACTGTTCTATGAGTTTTGAAAGAGTGAGGAGAATATTATATAGTGTCTTCATTTCTCTGACTCTCTTCATCATGAATTTTTAGGGAAAGGCTGTGATGCCACTGCAATACATTATACCTTGAAATTAAAGAAAATATTGAAAACTTAAAACACCCAATTCTTGGAAGCAGTATTAAGCTCAGGGATACTGAAGTGAAAGGGATAGTTCAGAATTGTCTTTGGATTTTCACATAGATTCTAGGACATCTATGCAAAGAACCACATCAGTATGTAGACAGCGAGAAAGCGAGTTGATGCTGGAGAATAGAAAACATGTATCACACAGCTTGAGAAGGATGAGTCAGAACTCAGGAGAGAGCCGGTGCTCTTTGCACCATAATCCATAGTGGTTGGCACATGACCTTGGTGGCTTAATAATTGTTACTTCCCTCTAACATCCAGGATGTGGTGGTGGTCGGGGAAGAAAACTTCACGACCCCCTGCTACATTCAGTTGGATACGGAGGCCTGCCACATCCTCACTGAGAATCTCAGCACCTACACCTTGGTTGGTCAGGCCACCACCAAAGCCGCTGCAAAGCGCCTGAAACTGGCCATCTTCGGGCCCCTCTGCTGCTCCTCCCTGGAGTACAGCATCCGAGTCTACTGCCTTGATGACACACAGGATGCTCTGAAGGTAAGTGTCTCCCCCAACCCACCTTCGTCACCCTCACCTGGAAGTCAAGATTTGGAATAGTCGTGTACACCTGGAAGTGGCTCTGGGCAGGTGTGTGAACACATGCATATGGTCCCGAAGGAAGCAGTTTTACAAATAGATACATCTCAGAGTCCATGCTGATAGAAGCACTATTTCCTTTGTGCTGATTCCTCCCAAGGGCTACTTTTGTTTACCTTCCTTGGTTTTTTTTTTTTTTAATGAAAAATGTAGAAGAATTTGGCAGTGAAACTCGTGGATGGTGAATAATCTGCTTCCATGTTTATCTCAGCTGCGTTCTTCCTATAAAAGAAATTGGCGTAATTGCTCACACTGTATGTTCCTCTTGTGAGCTCCTTCATTTATATGCTTTCCCATTCTTTTTACGAGGGCTGTGAGGGAGAGGGTTAGCATTTGACAACAGGCTGCTGCTTTGCAGAATAAATGAGCTTAATTCCTGGTGCGATTATTGCCATTCGTTTTATCCCATTTGAAGCTTTAAGGGATATAAGTGTCTTTGAAGAAGTTATGATCTAGACGGAGAAATAAAAGAAGTATGCCAGGGATGAGGAGATAAGCCAGGATATGATGGATGCTGCAGCTGAGATGCAAAGTTCTCTGAGAGTTCGGGAAGGGAAGGAACATAGTATTCTGGGGAAATCTGAAAAAAAAAAAAGGTTAACATGTGAGACTGGTCATAAAGGAAGCTAGGGTTTTAAGTATCATTAATGGAGAAAAATGTTCAATATGACTAAAAGGAAGGAAAAGAAGTGAACATGACCAACAACTCCATGCAGATGTCTTATCCAGGTACCCGAGGATGATAGGTTCCTCAGCTAGGCTGGACCTGTGCTGTCAGAGAGAGTTTATAGAGACAAGAAAGGTTTAAATAAAAGCAAGATATGAGTGGACCTATACATTAAAATCACCATTCTGACTTCAATAGACAGTCACGTTGATAGATTGTGGCAGACATGGGATGATACGAGAGAAAGGAGAGGAAGGAAAGAGATGCACAAGGTTCTGGCAATTAGTACAGTGACTTACAGTCAAGTAGGTGAAGTAGAAGAACAAACTTTTGCCTCTGACAATAGCAAAGTCTAGGGCAGGTAGCTTTATGGATTTGGTCAGTTCAAGCTATCACAACAGAGTACCATATACCAGGTCACTTAAATGAAGGCATTTATGCCTCATAGTTCTGAGGGCTAGAAGCCCACGGTGAAGGTGACAGCAGGATTGGGCTCTAGTAATGACCTCCTCCAAGTTTAAACACCTAGCCCTTTTCAATATTCTCACAGGACAGAGCGATAGCTAGAGAGCCACATGGAGTTTCTTTTACAAAGACATTTATCTAATTCATGAGAACCCTACCTTCATGGTCAAATCGCCTTCCAAAGATCTGACCTTTTCAAACTGCCATACTGAAGTTTAGTATTATAAACTATGAATTTTGGATGACATAAGCAGTCAATCTATAATAGTGTTTTTTTTTTCTTGTGGACTACTGAGTTTACAGGTATAAATCAGACATTCGAAGATACCCAAGGGACCATTAGAAATATGAGTATGGCTTTGTCCCTGTTGACTAGTCTCCCTTCCTCTCCCTCCTCTAACCCTTCCTCACTTCCTGTATCCATTCTTCCACTATCTGCTCCTATGAGGATAATTTCTTCAACATCCACATACAACTGAAGTTATGAAGCAGTTTTCCATTCTTTGACATCATCATATGCCCAAAATGTATATAATTATTATTAGTTAAAGGCAATAGTTTTTAAATAGTATGTTTTTAAAAGATTTATTTTTATGTGTGTGTGCATGCATGTGTGTGTGTGTGTGTGTGTGTGTGTGTGTGTGCCTGAGTGTTTGTATATGTAGCACATGTGCAGTGCCCTGGAGGCTCAAAGATCCCCTGGAACTGCAATAATAAACAGCTGTGAGCTACCTGATATGGGTGCTAGGAACTGAACCTAGGTCCTCTGCAAGAACAGCAAGTACTTTTAACTGCTGGGCCCTCTGTCCAGCCCCTAAATAGTATATAATTTTTAAACAAGCATATGTGACTTTCTGATCTGAGAGCAGATCCTAAGATAGAGATTTGGAAATCATATCATGTTAATATTTGTCATCCAAGGTGATCAGGAAAAATATTCAATGAGAACAGAGATAAATAAAATAATAAATATAATCAAGTGCTTCTATATATCAGACAAAATTCTACGTTTTAAAACATCCAGTCTTCACAATAACCCGTAAGATGTAATTTTCCCTACTTGACAGATGTACAATCCAAGGTAAAGAAAGTTTGAGTGGCCCTGGGTCCAACAGCTACAGAGTAGCAAAAACAGGGCCTGTGTATGGGCAGCTAGCTACAGTTGGCCTGTCAAGCTGTCTTGAACTGAAGAGCCAGACGGGAACCAAGGAGAGGCTACCATGTCATAGGAGCTGGAAGACCAACCAGACAAAGGAAAGCAAGCAGCCAGAGGGAAAAAATGAGAGTGAAAAAAGTCAAGGAAGCCAAGGGAAGAAAACTTTCTGACTCTCGGGATATTTCTTTCTGCACTTTCTGTCCAAAGAATGGTTCTGGGTCATGAAAACTGAGGGTTGCAGGTTAAGACTCAAGAGATGGTAAGGGGCATGTGGAGAAGGGAACATTCGTTTTCAAGCATGCATTCCTCATGGTAGACATGGCCAGCATGGTCTCCCGGGAGAGGAAAAGACTAAGTTGATCACTGCACAGATCTTAATCATAGAGCTTGTCGGATTTTCTGATGTGGAACTTAATGACAGGAACACAGCTTGATGTAAGGCTTCAGGTTGTTTCTTTTATATTCCTTGCCAATGTAACTTTTCTAAGGAACTGTCAGAATACAAATCATGCTAAACTTCAATTCTTAGGAAAAACTGTATTTGTAGGAGAGCCATGGGGTCTGATTAAAGTGGATGTTTTGAATGGTTCCATGAGAAAAGAAAACCATGGCAAGATACATTCTGTCGAAGACATTCATAGCATCTGAAGTGTGGAATACATATAATTTATATTCAGGAATTCTTTTTAAGATATCTTATTTTTGTTTTCTGTGTATGAGTGTGTTACATGTATGTAAGTGCACCCATGATGTGCAGTGCCTATGGAGGTTAGAAGAGGGCATCAGATCCCTTAGAACTGGAGTTGACAGTTTTTAGCTGCCATGTGTGTACTGGCAATTGAACCCAGGTCCTCTGCAAGAGCATTCAGTGCTCTTAACCACTGAGCCATCTCTCCAGCCCCATATTCATGAAGTCTTGACCTGTCTTCCCAACAGACACACAAAACTGTTTTCAAAATGTAATATTTTATGAGAACATTTTTGACTATGTTGATTACAGAAACTGGGATGGAAATGGTCAACATGGAGAAGAACAGTAGATTGCTTTCAGTAGTGAACACAGCCTAAGAGCACTTTGATTGTGCTCAGTGTTCTTCTAGACAGACATTTATAAATTCTCAGCCTCTGGGGATCCAGCACTTAGCCTGAAAGAAGTGTGAATAATGGATGAGGCATCCTCGCACCTCTTGGCCTTTTAATAATGCAGGAATACCAAAATCTTAGTAATAAGTAAACTGCCCAACACACAGAAGAGACAATTAGTTCAGTCCTGTCTGCTCTATCTCACTCACACTCAAATTGGAATCTGGGGGCTGATCAGTTCAAAAAGGACCTTCAGTACCAAATTCTGCCTTCTTGGTACCCTGTCTGATGATGCTCACTGCTAGTCTCCTGTCTCCTTGCTCTTCTTGCAGTCTTTACCTACTTCATATCAACCTCCCAAATGCCTCCTCCTCTCTTTGACTACTCCTGTCTCAAGCCCTTCCTGAGTCAACAGTTTTTTACTATGGTACATGTAGAAATGAGTTGGTGAGCTTTGGGAAAGAATTTCTCCAAGGTCATTCTCAAAAGGCTCTGATTTAACTAAGCTAGGCATCGGAAGTATATCTTAATGCTTCCTGGGTATTGTGCAATCAGTTATTCTAACATGTTCACGTATCTTTTGGGAGATTTTGATTCCACTAAGGACAAAATTTCCTGAATCCTCAAATCATACTATCCCCAATCCCTTACTTGCTCACATCATCTATCACTGGACAGTCTAGTTGGCCTTTCATCCCTCCCAGGGCCAGCAGTAAAGCTCCATCTTCTAACTCACCACAAGGCCGAGAGGAAAAGCTCTTCTCATTCCCATACTCCATTGCAATGCTGGGTCACCTCTCCACTTCATGGGCTGGATCTTCCTTATGTTCTTCATTACCCACTGCAGTTCTTTAAGTGCAGACCACTGCTCTTACCTACTCGAGCAGGACCTGCCTTGGAGGTCTTTCTCTCAACCTGTCTTACTCCAATCATTCACTCAGTGTCATCACCAGAATTATCTTTCTAGACATAATTTGATGGCCTCATATCCATCCATATTATTCATCTACCCATGTAGATGTGTCCAAGTTTTAGTCTCAGCAACCACTGCTCCTGAGTCAATATTGCCAGTCTGAGCAAGCTTCTGAGTGTAATGAGCACAAGCATATGAGTTTCCACTTCTGTCACAGTGAAACTGCCACTTGCCCTTAGGAGAAGCTCCCTCAGCCTTCCCTGGTTTCTTGATCCAGAAACCCTCCTCTGTCTTTATCTATATCCACAGAGAACTCACCCCCATCCCAAATACCTTCTTATATTAAATTGTAACAGTCTTAATAATTTCCATCGCTACTAATGCCCCCAAATTAACAAGGACTCTACTTTTAGTTCAGGCTGCTATATTTGTATGAGAAAAAAAATCATACATTTCCAAGTAGGTCCATTACAATCTCAAGATTGCAAATATCATCAGTGCCTCCCCTCCTCCTCCATCAGCCTTTCACTGATCTCTTCATGACTCATATTTCACACAGCTGTTGTTCCATTTCCCCAAAGCTTCTGATCCCATCACAGCCTGCTTCATGCCTAGAA